TGACCCTGAGGTCAGGTCACGGTGCTTCCACACCAGGCCAGCTTCCTGCCTGGGGCCCTGTGTGCCACTGCCCAACACGCCAGGGTTTTGGCAGGAAGCCTGCAGTTCACTGGCTGCAGGGTACCGAAGTGTAGCTAAGGTGTGGGGTAGGATTGCTTATCTTGAAACCCTGGAACACAGATCTGCACAGACTTTGAAAGCGGCAGCCCCGAGATGCCTTCCGACGACGGCACGCCATGCTGCTTTCTCAGCCGTCCAGACCAGGGTCACAGAGCGAGCACTTTGGTGAACGAGAAGGTGGAGTGGGCGGCCCTCACAGGAAAGGTCAAAGTTACAGCTCTACGAGGTCAGGAGTGAGGAGAGGTTTGTGTGGTGGCTGGATAAGGTGGTCCTCACAGGCTGGTGTATTTGAATGCTTAGTCACCAGGGAGTGGGACTGTTTGAGATGGGTTAGGGGGCGTGGCCTCATTAGAGGAGATGTGTCACTCACTGAGCTTTGAGGTTTCAAAAGCCCAATACAGATTCTGTGTCTATCTGTCTGTCTGTGTCTTTCCCTCTGTGTCTTTCTCTCTGTGTCTGTCTCTCTGTCTTTCTCCCTCCCCGCCCCTGTCTGTCTGTCTCTCTCTCTGTCTGTCTCTCTGTCTCTCTGTCTCTCTGTCTCTCTCTCTCTCTCTCTCTCTCTCTCTCTCTCTCTCTGTCTCTCCTCTCTCTCTCTTTCCCTCTGTCTTTCTCTTTCTCCCCACCCTTCTCTCCCTGCTCCCTGTGGAGCAGGATATAACACTCTCAGGTAATACTCAGCATCCTGCCTGGCTGCCTGGCTGCCATGATGATAATGGATTAAACCTCTGAAACTGTAAACAAGCCCCCAATTAAAAGCTTTCTTTTGTAAGAGTTGCCTCGGCTGTGGGGTCTCTTCACAGCAACAGAACAGTGAATAAGACCGTTTGCTCTCAACACCAGGAGCATCTCTTTCAGGTGGGACGTCGTAACCTTCGACAATATGACTTTCAGAAACTGGGAAGGGCTGGGGCCAGCGAGCTGGGCTCCAAGAGCTAACAATACGGAAAAGGGATATAAGGGACAGTATTCTCCCAGAGACACTGGCTCAGGAGGGAGGGCACAAACACCGAAGCCCAGCAGGTCCCATCCATGCATAGGAAAGACGCAGAACGGACTCCGAGAGAGCGTCCATAAAGTGAAAAGGGGGCAAAGAAACTCAGCTCCCTCTCCCCTTGCACATACTGTGTGACTCTGCACTGAGTCCAGGCACACAGAAGGACTCACAGCGAGTGTATTTTGTGAGCACCCTCCCAGGGAGGGGACCATGAGCAGCTCCTGCTGCTCTCACCAGCTCTGCCAGGCTGCATGCGTGTGCCGTCAGAACACCCTTGCACACTTTCCAGTTCAGACTTGCGGCTCTGTTGAGACTTTGGTTCCTGCGGCAACGCCGCCAAATCAATATCTCATCTAAAGGGCGATGCTGATGCTGGAGGGCACTGTTGCCATGGAGATTCTGCTTCTGGAGGTTGATGCCAGGAACGTGTTTGATGGGCATAGCTGCCCTCTGTGGGGCGGCAGTCACACGATGGGAATGGTGGTGTCTGGCTATAGGCTCTCAGTCTGGACCGCGGGTTGGGGGCGTGGAGGAGGTGGGGAGAGTGAGGGGGGGCAGGGGTGTCTCACTTGCTCTGTCCCACTACTCATCATTATCACAGTGGCCACTGGGTCTGCCCCCCCCCATCAACAGCTGCTGCTGGGTCCGGCCCCCGGCCCCAAGGCCACACCAGAATCTAAGTAGGACCCGGGCCTTTCAGGCCTGGCTACTCTGTGCCCTTCCCCGCTCCTGAATGCCCATCTAGCAAGCTATGACACTGTCACCACACTGTCGTCCACTTCTCTAGACTCCCTGCGTTTCCAGTTTCCACTTCGAACTGGCCTTCGGTTTCTTCTTCAGCTCTGTCTAGGAGCGGTTTAATTCCTTCACCAGGTTTTCCATGTAAGTTTTTGCCTGTCCATTCACACAAGGGCTACTTTAAAAGAATGTTCCTTATGGCCTTCCGTCCCCCTGCCGTGTGTCCATCTGTTGCCTGTGGCTTGTCACCCCAGCCATCCCTTCATTGACACACTCACAAACATGCTTTCTTTGAACACACGCCCCTCCTATGGGACATTCTATGGAACTTTATACAGGAAAACTCTTTGAGATTTGGACTGAAAGGGATGATTGGATTTCCTTTGATGGACACTTCATGGCCTGAGTGGACGCTGACCCAGTGTGGACCTAGAACACATGGATTGAGGCTCGCAGGCCACAGATGTGGACTCGGCACCAGGATGAGGCAGCACCTACCACACAGACCCACACTTGAACACACAGGGCTTGGGGTGCCAACCTGAAGGTCTACCACTGTAAAGAGGGCTGCTTAGCTACACATGAAGTGGGCACACAGACCCACACTTGAACACACAGGGCTTGGGGTGCCAACCTGAAGGTCTACCACTGTGAGGAGGGCTCAGCTACACACAAAGCTCTTGCCATAGTGCCTATGTTCACTTCTGTGGCTACCAGTTTGTACTCATAACAGGACCCAGTTTTCAGCTGGCATATTCCATCCATAGCCCGAGGCATGCTGGGAAGATGGGGACAAGGAAGGGAAAAAGAGTCCCTCACCCCTCACCCCAGAGTCTGGCTGAAGTCTCTCACCAGATGAGAACCAAAAGTTCCAGGACAATTAAAACTTTTTCTCAGCTGGGCAGTGGTGGCGCACGCCTTTAATCCCAGCACTCGAGGCAGAGGCAGAGCCAGGCAGCTCTCTGTGAAGTCGAGGCTAGCCTGAGCTACAGAGTGAGTTCCAGGAAAGGCACAAAGTTACACAGAGAAACCCTGTCTTGAGAAAAAAACAAAAACAAAGAAAACCCTTTTTCTGTGAAAGCGGCAAACACAGAGACTTTCTTTTACGTAGAGATATTTCAAGTAAGAATATTTAAATATCAACAAACTTTGGGTAGAAAGGACGCCACCCAACAGATTTATCGGTGAATTTGGGACTGTGGGGGATATTAAGGTCTTGTCAGGAAGATAGGACACAAGAACTCACTGGATAAGGCAGACCATGGAAGGATGTAACTCCATCCCTTGGACCCCAAAGGACTGAACACCAGCACAGCGATTACCCCATGACCAATCGTCTGGCCCTTGGTGTGTGCACCAAGGACTGAAAGACAGAATTTCTAACCTTCCCAGGAACTTTACCTTGGCTTAATCCCCACTGCTGACATGGCATATTAGAACTGCTGTCTGTCTGTCTACCTGTTCACCTGTCTGGGCCTGTGGCGGTCCATCTGTCCACACACTCATTCACCTAGACTAGGTCAGTCCCTTCATGTTATTTCACTCCTGAAACTCAATTCTGATCTCCCAGCCTGACTCTTGAATAACCGCTGGGCTTCACAACTCGGTTTGTTATTACACCAACAGACTTATTTGCACTTATATTAGCTTCCCTGTTCTCAAGACTTCTGAAACCAGTGAACTCTGCTGCAGCATATATACATGCATGCATGCATACATCTATGTGTATATGCACGCAGATACACGCATGCATAAGTACACATGTGATAGGTGATGTTTGAGTTAATATTAGTAATGAAGCATTATCTTCATCAACCCCACAAGACATTCTTCAACATAAACTTGTATTTTTCTGTCTTCAGTTTCATTTTTTTTAAAAAAAATCGAAGCATGCATAAATAACAACACAAACAGCTGTAACCGTGGGGCCTCAGCAGGGTGGCTGCAAGGCAGACGGAACTGAGTACACCATCCACCTCCCTCAGGGGCGGGCAGCATTAGCGGTTTTCCAAAAAATAAGCTCATTAAGTCATCAGGACACGCTGCTTGCTCCCACTTGAAGCAGCAATAGGCAAGGATATAATTCGGCTGCTAAAAATGCTCTCAAAATCAGAATAGCGTCTTGAAACCGCACAACCCATAATTCTAAACCCAAAAGGTGGAGTCCCTGGCTCAGTGCTGTCGCCTTTGATCTTGAAGAACCGCAAAAGAGGCTGGTGTACCAGCCTTGATGATAGTCTGGGCTCCTTACCAGCTCCCATGGGATGCTCACGGCTTTCTTGCTCTTCCCCCTCTTACTCTCTGGTCACTGCTGTGGGTTCTAAGATGTCACTTCCTGTCCCCACATGCTCTTAGCCACAGCCCAGACCCTCCACAGACTGGGCGCTTTTTGGCAAGGCAAGGTCTGGCCCCCAGAACGCTGGGGCAGGCAACCATGCTGAAAATTCATGCTGGAGACAAAAAGCTCTCATCCTGGACCACAAAGTAACAAGTTAGAGCTCCCATTACATTCCCTTTCTCCTTGGCTGACCCTCCCTTACTCAAAGTACGCCAATAAACGCTTTCTAGGCCTTTCTCCTCAATCAACAGCTCCGTGTACGGACCATGTGTCTCATAACATTTTTTAAAGAAATATGGTGTGGGGTGAGGAAGCTTTAAAATATTTCCTTTCTTAAAATTCTTATCTTTTTTTTTTTTTTAAAAAAAACGTATGTATATGAATGTTTTGCCTGCAGGCATGTATGTGCGCCGTGTGCATGCCTGGTTCCCATAGAGGTCAGGAAAGGGTACCATCCCCTGGAATTGAAGGTAAGGATGACTATGAACCACCTTGTGGGTGCTAGAAACTGAACCCAGGTCCTCTGCAGGAACAGCAAATGCTCTTAACTGCTTAGCCATCTCTCCAGCCTCATTTGCACACTTTCTCAAAAAGCTCCTTTCATGTCCTGGGGGAAAGACATGGCCCCAAGAGTTTCTCATGCTTCGGGGCCCTGCAGATCAGGAACACTATCTCCTCAGGCCAGAGGTGCCCACTATAGCCCACACCAGTGGATGCTTCCTCACACACACACACAAAAACTCCATGAGCAGCCTGGCACAGACAGGCAGATGTGGAATCAGAATCAATAAAAGCAGCAGGGGACATTACCAGAGTGACTTCTCTACAATTTTGGTCCGGAAAACCTCCTCCTGGTCCAGGTTCACTGTGCAGTAGCAATCCCTCATCTTGTTTGGCCCCGGGTAGGAAGGAAGATTCTTGGCTTCACCTGAAGAGTAAAAATGTGACACACACCAACTTAGCACAGAATACTCAACCTCCTTCGCCGTCCTCCACATCGCTCGCCGACCCCAGGACGCTCAGCGTAGCCACCAGCCACACACACACACACACACACACACACACACACACACACACACACACACGCCCGAACCGAGGCATCACTTCATGGGGAGTTGCGTGCCTTCACCTTGGACACTCATTCGCTCTTCATATGGTTTTCTTACAAGTCAAAAGACTGTCTAGAATGATGTTTGTCACACAGGCATCCACCTCTAGAGCAACCCAGGAGCGTGAGGATCCCTAGCTCTGGGATTGGAGATTATTCTTTGTTTGCCCACATTCGTCCCTCTAGTCGACAAAAACTTGAATCAAGGAAAAATCCATACAGCGTGTCCCACCACATCCAAGTGTAGTAAGCGGGTACGCGTGGTCACACTGCTGTGCACCAACGCCTCCATCTACCCACAGCTTCCATCTCCCCGCTTTGGACCGTTACCTCTTTCAGCAGGGCCCCCTCATGCCTCCCTCATACTTCCCCTGAACCTTCCCAGCACCCACCATTCTCTCTCTTTTTTTTTTTTTTTTTTTTTTACCGCTGTGACACTGACGGCTCTGGGGGCTGCCTTCGTGAAACCAGGTCTAGCTTCTGCTTGTCCCCAGGGTGGCACCACCAGGAGGCGGTGGAGCCTTTGGGAACAGGAGGCTTTGGATAGTTGTTGAGGTTGTGCCGCTGAAGGGGTTGTGAGACCCTGGTCCGTCTGCCCTCTTTTGCTTCCTGGCCACAAGGTGAGCACTTTGTGCCACCACTTTCCTGACCATCCCACCAGAGGCTCAGTGTCACGGATCCACACTGTCTTGGCCTGTAACCTCCAAACCATAGAGCATATCAGGATTTTCTTCCTTTCAAGGCTTCCTTTCAAAATGTGGCACAGACAACATTTTGTCCCTTCATGTGTCAAGTGGCTTTTTCATATTTAATTTTATTACTATGGTAAGGATAGCAATAACCACAAGGACTCATTTTCTCATTCACAAAATTAAACTCTAAACTCCAAATGTGATTTGCCAGTTGGGGGGGAAAAAAAAGTCCAGAAGGAGAAGCCTGCAATGGCCGCAATGGCCCCTGCTTCCCTTCCATGGGCTGCTCCTCCTCTGAGAAGCCCTACAAAGGTTCTGAGTGTGTCTGGAGATTGTAGGAGATTCTGAGGCAGCCTGTGCCAGCAGGGCCTGCAGAACATTCTTGCCATACTGCAGTAGACTGCCCCTCGGTAGGTCTAGGAGATTTTTCTAAGCCCAGCCATTGGCTCCTGGGCCAGAAGCACAGAACAGCTCTGGAAGTGGCCCAACCTATGGATGAATGAGGTGGATAATACAAGCAGTGACTTCCATCCTAGAGTTTACTGGTACCCATCTAAGTGCAACCAGGTGAAAAAGCACCTCTAGAACTCCCTTGCCTTCTAAAAGGCATCAACTGTCTGAGCCATTTTGGTTCTAAAGGCACTTCGCACCAGATGCCCATGTACAGTAGTCCATTGGTATAGAGGGAGGCAAGATATCATCCCATCACATCGGCATAAGGGAAGAAGCGAGGATGGAGACTCAGTTTGCAATGTTTTGCTGTTGTGTAGCAAGTTTTTATGAGTTGAAACCTTCCATCCTGGAAGAGGGCTCCTTAAGACTCTGGAAGTTCTAAAGGGAGGCTCATGAAAACTCAGGAAGTAAACAACTCACAAGTCTCAGTAAGTCCCTGAAACTTACCAGGCTCACAAGGTCCCTCTCTCCCCAAGATTATATAAACAGCAAGAGCTGCTTAGAAGAGATTCTCTCACCGGGTGGCAGTGGTGCACACCTTTAATCCCAGCATTCAGGAGGCAGAGCCAGGCGGATCTCTGTGAGTTCGAGGCCAGCCTGGTCTACAGAGTGAGCTCCAAGACAGGCACCAAAACTACACAGAGAAACCCTGTCTCAAAAAACCGAAGGAGGAAGAGGAGGAGGAGGAGGAGGAGGAGGAGGAGGAGGAGGAAAAGGAGACTCTCCTACTTGTTGAACTGCAAGTCCTGCAGAGCTCTTCAGGTTTCCAGCTTTTTGAGTCATCAACCATACTTGGGTGGGCTTTTGGTGATCCAGCTGCTATGAGTTATCCCTGCTCCTGTAAGTAACCCGGCACCCATACTCTCTTAATTAACCCCAGTAAACACGAGCTGGATTTCGGTGGTACCAGCACTTTGGTCCATCACCGGCTGACTACTAGGTGAACAGACATGTGTTCACATCTTCCCAGGAGTAGCACCATACACCAGGCAGCGACACAGAAGGCACACACTGGTACCTGTCAATACCACTTTATGTCAGCACTAACAAGCAACACAACCAACCACGCCATGACAGATGTTCCTCAGAGCTCCATAGTCAGCCGGGTCTGACAGCAGCAAACAGCCTTGGCCTCCTCAAGCGACAAGCGGGCACATATGCTCAGCTTTTTTGAGGAAAACAATTCAGCCAGAACAATACCAACTTACAAACTGGTCAGCCAAGTACTCCCCAGAGCATCTAGCTCACTTTTAAACTCTTCCTTAAGGTTGTTCACCTCAGACACGGAGTGAAGGAGAAGATTAACAGAAGATGTTTTTCAATGGGTGATTTTTTTTGTACCACATTTTCTTTCCGATGTCCCAGAGCGCTTTGGACACCTGTGCCAATACATATCATCTCTTGGAGCTGCCCACAGGTCTTAACTTGCATAACGCTGTTTCCCACAGTGGGGGCATATAGTAGGCCCCTACTCTGAGGACTCTGGGCTCTGAGTCTGCCCAGTTCAAAGGTCCTGGTGATCATGTGGAGGGGGGGCCTGGGCTTCACTGTACCAGGCAAGTGCTCTACCACTGGCCTTCATTCCTAGCCCTCTTTTTTACGTTTTGTTTTGTTTTCTGTTTGTTTGTCTTTTTTGTTTTGTACTTCTTGAGACAAAGTCTTTTCTTTTCCTTTTTTTTTTTTTTTTTTTTTTCCTTTTTTTTCAAGACAGGGTTTCTCTGTGTAGCTTTGGAGCCTGTCCTGGAATTCACTCTGTAAACCAGGCTGGCCTCGAACTCACAGAGATCCACCTGGCTCGCCTCCCGAGTGCTGGGATTAAAGGCATGCCCAGCAGGAGACAGAGTCTTGCTAAATTGTTCAGGCTGGCCTTGAGTGTGTGATCTACCTGCCGTAGCCTCCTGAGGAGGCTGGGATTATAGTTCCGAACCACCAAGCCCAACTAGCCCTGGGGTTCTTCAGGACTCATCAATGAACCATCCATGACCAACAGTGGTTCAGAGAACAATCACCCGGCACGTTTCTTGTAGTCACTCTCGCCCTAGAGACACGGCTCTCCCAGAGCGTCTGCTGCTTCCTGGGTAGAATCAAGACATGGCTAACCTGGTGTGAGGCAGTAAAGCTGAGCCCAGTTTCAACATATCAGAAGATCAACCTCTGCTGGCTCCCTAAGACATGGCGGCCTTACACCACGTGCATCATCTGTACCGACCATGATGAATTCACAGGTGAGAACAAGGTTCACAACATCTATAGGAGTGAGCTCGAAGTTACAGCCACCCTGCTGGTCTCAGAGGGAGCGCTGCAGCTCTGGCCATGGAAAAGGGACTCTCCATCCCCAGCTCTGGTTGGAGACTGACGGCTCCAGCAGAGGTCACAAATTTTGAGCTGAAAATCACTGGACTCCACTACCTTCCAGGCAGACACCTTTATGAAAATAAAGCTTTCCTTTATAAATTAAAACTTTCCTTTCCTTTGGATTTTAACTGTTTTCTCTTTTCGCTTTTTATGTCTGGGTTTGTTTTGGTTTGTGTGAGCACATGTTTTTACAATGAGTGCTGAGTGATTGTTAGCCACAAGTCGCCCTGTTTCTTGGAAAAAATGTTCTTTGAAAGGTCCTGTGGGAGATGGTTTTTGGTGGAAGACACAGACCTGATATCCTGTTTATTACCCACAGAAAGTCAAAATAGGAGAATAGCAACTGTGCTTCCCTGGAAGGGCGTCCAGTCAGTCCCCAACAGCTTGTGGGATTCACTCACTGGCACCGCACAGTTTGGCCAACACCTAGACAGGGTAGAAACATCCCGATTGCTATGACAACAGCAACCCCAGCCAACAGATGGTTGTTCTGAGTCATCCATTAGCAAGCCACTCTGGCCAGGAAGACGAGAGCATCACACATCTGCCCTGTGTCTTCCCACCGGGTCCCTAGACTCAGAGGTTCTGTCTGCATCATAAAGAACGGAGAACAGTGAGTTATCCCAAGTACGCGGATCCGGCTGAGTGACAGCAGGACTCTATCTCCTCCCAAACTGTATGTGTTCCTTTTCCTGTTTTTAAATGGTCATATTTGTTGTACAGTGTTGGTTTTCATGAAGACAACTGTGTATCATATCATGTATTTTGACTATATTCACCCCAGTAGTGCTTCTTCCCTAGTGCCCTGCCTTCTCCTCTTCCTTCTCATCTTAGTTCATCTCAGTCTCCCCTGCTTTCATGTCAGACACACACACACACACACACACACACACACACACACACACACACATAAACACACATACACATACATACACACATGTACACACACACATATACATACACACACACGTACACATATACATACATACACATACACACATAAACACACACATGCTTTTATATATCTACAAAAAAATTCTAGCAGGGCCAGGCATAGTGACACAAGCCTTTAATCTCAGCACTTGGGAGCCAGAGACAGTGAATCTCTGAGTTCAAGGCCAGCCTAGTCAACATAGCAGGTTCCAGGACAACCAGGGCTACATAGAGAGACTCTGTCTCAGATTTAAAAAATAAAACAAAATAAACCCTAGGACCCACAAGTAGAAAAACATGGTATTTGTGGTAGTTTGAACAAGAATGGCTCATAGAGTTGAATGCTTGGTTACTAGGGAGTGGCGCTAATTGAGAAGGATTAGGAGG